TAATAGGCCTTCGTGAAAGAATTATTAATTAATAAAAAACGTTTTTTCCTTTAACAATTGCGACTTTAATGAACCAGAAAATTTTCCTTCCTCAATAATTTTATGGGACAATGTGGTATTTTGAGAAACTCAGTTAATGTTAATTTGAGGATACGTGGGTCACTAGGGTACTGTTTTGTAGTGTTTTCCCAAACATGATGATATATCCATCTAATATAAAGGGTGGATACAAATCATTCCCTTATCCACTTTCCCTCCCACACAAACAAAAATAACAAAACAAAACAAAAATATAACCAAACATTAAATATATCAAAACGTTTTAACGACCCAATTGCAAGTGCAAATTGTAGCAATGGCTAAAGCTGTTATTGGATTCACCATTGTCAAACCACGTATCCATTGCTCTACTTTCCAAACAACATGTTCAAAATCGGTAAAAAAAAGCTTTAATTAGTCCTTTTTCACTACAGAATTACAATTTCAGTCTCAAATTTAGTAAAACTGTATTTATCAAGTGTTTTTTGCTGTGTTGGGTTTTTCAGCTTAGGCAGTTTTCAAGCTCTGGACTTTTCAGTGAGTGGCAACGGGTAAGTTGGTTCTTGAATGTCTACAAAACTTATCAAATAATTAACCAACTAACTAACTAACCAACCAATATATATTTACACACACACACACACACAGAGACACACATTGAAATCTCTTCTTGACTTTGTATATATTGCTTAAAAGTAGTAGTTGAGTTTAGTAAGTTTGGTATTGAAGCATTACCAACACCAAGAAGTTCTTTCCTTTTTTCTTTTTTTTTTTTTAAAAAATTTCTTAACTACCATATTCTATAACTTGAATGAATAATTAGAAAAGGGTAAAGGTTTTTTGTTTTTCTTTTGTGTTTAGGAAAAGGGTAAAAGAGGTCGTTTAAGCAAAGCAAATGCTCTCCCGGATTTGCCCTTAATGGCCGTACTAGTGGAGAAGCTTGGAGGACAAATGGACTATGTTATGCATAAAACTATTTGGCATCTAAGTGATGATACCATTAAGAATGTCTGTAAGTGTTTGAATATAATTCCTAATTCACCTTTTTTCTCTCTCCTATTTTGCGACATATTCAAAAATTAAGGAAGTTTTTTTTTTTGGTATAATTTTTTGAATATATTTCCTATTTGCAGATGTTGGCTACATCTTTTTTACTTGTTGGGGGTGTTTAGTTTTTGGTTCCATGAAGGTGAATTTCCTAATTTGATATGATATTGGTTCTTTCTTTGAAGTTATATATTATAGTAATTTAGTTTGGGATCAAGTTTTAATGGATAAGAATCTCATGGTTTAGGATCCATACTACGATTCTGAGGCATATAGGAAAGATGGAGGAGATGGGACTGGACATTGGATCTATGAGAAGGTAATTTTTCTGATCATGAACTCATTATTTTTAACGGTAGCTTTTCATGGATGGATATCCAGGCCATTAGAAAAACTCTCTTTAACTGCTAAAATTTTGTTCTCTGTCTGATTTTGGCATCTCAATTCATATATGTCTATGTCCTCATATTATCTTAAATATAATTTCCTCAGTTAGTTTTTTAACTTTATCTTACTTACATTTTAATTTCAACAGAGTGGGATACATACATATATATACATATATATATATATATATATATACACAAACAGATACATACATACACATACGCTAGATATGAATTGGGACATTAAAATTGGATAGGGGATTTAAACTCTTTTCTAGATGCTAAAATGTATTTTCTGTTCATTTACTTCAATTTGATGATATTCTCACATCACCAGTCACCACCCATTAGCACAAAGCTAAGGAAACTTCTCATTAATTCCCTACAGAGGAAGTTACTCATCAATATTAGCCCCAAAAGATTTCCACATGAAAGGATTTTATTTGAAATTTCCCTTTCTAAATATCTATATTAATATATGGATTTTTTGGCTAAATATATATGAGTCAGAGGTCATATATTTTTTCCTTATGAAACGATAATAACCCAAGCCAATTAATCTACTTAAAAAAAAAAATGATAGAGAAAATACTCATGACTATGCAGCAAGAAGACATTGAAGAAACCGCAAGATCAGAGTTGTGGAGGGAAGAGCTCATTGAGGAGATTGAGCAAAAAGTTGGAGGGCTTAGAGAGTTGGAAGAGGCTGGCAAGAAGTAGTAAAACTACATTATATCTTGTGACAAAGAACTTGTTTTCTGCAATTGCCATGGCAAATGTTGCTTTCTACACATTGGACTATTATTGTAGTTGTATATATTATTCTGAAGTTCTGTATGCTTAATCGGCATTAACGTTTCACACATGCAAATTACAAACTAACACTTGGAAATAACCTGTTGATGATACCAATGTTTTGAACCGTATGAGCAAGACAAGCTTAAAAAATATATATATAAATGAGAGGATAAGCAGACAGGTGTCAATTAAACTAATCTGCCTATTCTTGATTTTCGTAATATGTACTGCATAAAATAATTTTTAGCATGGTAAAATAACAGAGTAATTTACTTCCCTATAATTAGAAGAAGTTGGATCGGATTATGGAAAACAATAATTGTAAGGTCTGTTTTTTACGCAGGTATTACACAGAGTGTTATAACACTTTCTGTAACACTGATATTTTGTTAAATTCTTGAATTCAGAAACTAATAGATAAATTTACAGAACAGTAAAACAGAGAATAATAGTGCAAAAGCATAAAAGATACCAAGAATTGATATCACAGTTCGGTGCACACACCGACATCTGTTTTTAAATTTTGTACAATCAATTTTCAAAGCATGCCAACTAATAAAATCTAATGCAACGACACTTTGATAATTAAGGCAAAGGTGCGAGTTGGCTTTGCCTTGATGGTTGATATGGACCATAACCTTCCCATTCTAGTATTTTTTTTTTTCCTTACAATTTCTTAAGAATAGAATATATAAACATCCATATTTGACGATTCCGAAAATTTTCAATTGTTTCTTGGTCTTATCCCAGTTTTATATTGTTCCTTGATGCTTGGTTAACTAGTTAGGCAAAATCTATAAAATAGGGATGGATGGAGTAATTGGAAATGTGAGATATATTAAAATGAAAAATTACAAAACAAAATTACAACTGAATTTAACAACAATTCTAAGGTTGAAATAATAACAATATAACAGAAATAACAATAATAAGTAAAAAGGACGGGTTTTGAAGTCTATATAAGGGGCCCAGATCTTTTTATCAAAATGAATTGAGTACAGCAGATAAAATTGGACATATGTCTCATATTAAGCGTAAATCACTATTTCATTTTTTTATTTTACTAGAAAAACTTTCTTAATTATTAACCATTTATATACTAATTAATTTTTGAGATTTTTTTAATAATCTCTGTAAAAATAAATTACTAGTCAGCCCCATTTACTTCACCGATTTGAGTTTAAAATTTAAATTTTGCTACAGTAAAAAGTTTTCAGAAACAATTACATATAGCTTTTTTACTACAGTAAAAAGCTCTCATGTAAAATCACATCTCAACTCAAATTATAAACTCGAATCAGCGAAGTGAACGGATTCTAATCTCTTACTTTTTAATTATCAGATCTGTAATAAAATTTATTTATTTTGTATTTTTTTTTTAAAATGTGATGTGATTTTTTTCAACGAACTGCCGAATAATTTAAGTAGGAAAAGTTTACCAAGATCTTCACCTTCTTCTTGGTTGGACCGCACTCTGGAGGCTAGATAGAAAAAAAGTCAGTTCCATGAATATTCCACAACAACCCATCCCAGCTTACACAGTCTAGAAGATTCCATTTTGCATTGGTTTCTTCAAACCACTAGTCTTGAAACCCAAAACTATGGGCCATCTCTATAAAACATTGGACACAGAGAGCTCACACCAAAACCTGTGGGCAATATTTATGAACAACTCTGTTTTTTTTAATCAGCTCATCCGAACATCACAATCCTATCCCATAAAAGCAGAGAACTTAAAAGAGGATTGAAGTACTGACAAAATAATACAACACATGCCCAAGTTTTGTAAAATCTAGAACTAGAAGCCCCGGGACGGTCTCTCACTGTCGCGTCTAATGTCATCCAAAGAAAGGAAATGTATCTTGTGGCACTTTTGAAGAACTTTCCAAAGCAAGATATGGGCACAACTTGGCCAATTTCTTATGCCTTGTGGATTTTCACTGAAAATGTGCCACTTTGATCCGTCTTTTGTGCAGCAATTTTTGGGATTCTCACTTTGGGTGTTTTAGTGGTAGTGATCTATTTTTGCATTATTATGATGTCAAAGATGCTGTTTGGTTTGGTAAAAAGCATTGATGAGTTGACTAAAAAAACACAACTTCCGTTGTTAATTCTGAACACTTGTGTGAAGCTGACGCTAGTCATGTGATGATGTTTTCCCCTCAATTTATGAAGCTGCAAACATCACCCACAAAAAAACAAAAAAACAAAAAAAAAGAAATTTTTACATTAGGAACTGCCATGTAGCCTTATCAATAGGAACTGGTGTTTTTATCGATAGGTAAGTTTTTCAACAGTTTAATATGCGAGTGTTAAATTTATATCACGCTATATAAAACTGTTCTTAGTCACAGAATATATAGTTAAAAAATTAATTCAATGACTAAAATAGCAATTCTTACATAGAATAAATAGTAGTTTTTATCGTAGAAGTTTCCTAAGAAGATGGTAAAATTTTAATAACTTTGATAAAAAGTTTTTATCCATAGATAAGTTTTTTAACAATTTGGTATACGAGTGTTTAATTTATATCACGCTATATAAAACTATTCTTAATTACAGATCATACGGTTAAAAATTTTATCAAATGACTAAAATAATAATTTTTATCAATAGATTAAATAGTAATTTTTACCATAGAAGTTTCCTAAGAAGATGGTAAAATAATAATAACTTTAATAAAAAGTTTTTTTATATGAATAATAACTGTGATAAAAAGTTATTTACATATTTTCACGACTCTCTCTTTTATTAAATTGGACGTCATCACTTTTTTATGCGCCTTTTATTTATAGTTTTACCTTTTTTATCTTTTCTTTTTCCTGGATTGTTGCGCTTTTCATCACTGCTCTATATAAATTATAATGTTCGAGTTTTGTTTAATTATGATTTAAAATTATTTTTAATTTATGTATATTTTTTATAAAAAAAATATTATAACGAATCACAAATTAAAATTTAAATTAAGATATGAATTTCCGAACTAAACAACCAAGTCCCAACTTTTTGCCCCTTCTTAATTTTGTGGTCACCCAACTGCAACTATTTGTCACGCATATACTGCACTTTAAAAGCAACCTTTGCTCCTTGCTAGGCCGAAGAACATGGAAAAAAGAAATATTAAATTATAAAGTGTAAGAAAGATCAGCCTACTACTGTATAGGGTTACACGAGTCCTGTACCTTGAAACTTGAAAGGTCCACTTTTACAGTTTATTGATTTATTCCGATTTATAATCTTCCATTTCAGTTTATGGTTGGCTTAAAATTTAAAAGCCTTAGCATTCAAAAAAAAAAAAAAAATTAAAAGCCTATTTGACGTTGGATTAGATAAGATTATAAAGTCTGGATTAGATTAGATTGGAGTGTGTTTATCATGTATTGTGTTTGGCAATATGTCAAATTGGACGTCTGAAATACAATATAACATTTTGATTACAGATATAATATAATGATAATACCACACCTGACTCTACATAAAGTGTAAAGTTTAAATACTCCACCTCTAAGATAAAAAATAATAATAATAGTAATACAATCAAGTGTTTGGTGCATCATCGATTAGACTAAATTGATAATTAGTTTAATTGAAATTAATAATTTAAATTAACTTTGCTAAATTGTTGTAGCATAGTTATTTAATTTTAGTAAACAATATTATTATTTTTGAATGAAAACAGCATTATGTAAACTAAAAAACAAATCAAATAAATTCAAAAAACAAAAAGATAAGGTATCCAATTCAATGAGGCACCAAACACGGGACTATCCTAGTCCTAATCCTGTGTGACAAACAGCGCCAAAAAATATTTCCATGTATATTGTACCAAAAGGAAATTAGTGAACTGTATTATTTTGTCTTACAATCATGAGAAAATTATAGATTTTACTCTTTAAGTACCTAATTTATTAAAAGTATTTTTTTTTAAAAAAAACTCTACTTCTTAAATAATTCTAGTTTAAAAAATAAAAATATATGGGTTTAACATAAAGGGTAAAAATAAATAATTATTCTATTTTAAGAGGTATTTTTAAAAATTGTTGTAAAACCACACTGAAATAAGAAATATGATCGACAAAATTTTAATGAATAGTGAATAATGAATATTTCATGGCTCGAAATTATGATGTGCCCACAATTTATAATTTTTTGTCGTACTATATTATTATTTTTTTTTCGATTTAACAAATGCAGAGATTTTTGAATCCTTTTGTGGAAATAAAAACTTACTAATTTATAGAAATTATTTGGTAAAATATGAAACAAAAATCATATCATAGTACTTTTTCTTTTGTTATTTGAAGAATATTCTAATAAGCGTTGAAAAAAATAAATTATTAAAATAATTTTATTTTTAATTATTAAATTTATATATTTTTTAAATTTAATACGGTTTTAATCAGATCTATCAATTGAAAATTGACCCAATTGATGCTTTACTTGAGAAAGACCAAGTTCTTATTATATATATATTTATTAGCTTTTTTGTTTTAATCAAATGAGTCGGTGGCCAATAATAATAAGGGTAAAAAGAGACGGTGAAAAGTAAAATAAAAGAAAGAAAGGAAGAAAAGAATAAAAGACCTTTTTTTTTGTACATTAACATTGTGATAGATTAAATTTATATAAAATTATGTAAAAATTAAAAAATAAATAAATTTAATAGTTAAAAAATTTAACCCATCAATAAATAAACTGTATTAAAAAATCTCCTAAAAAATAATAAAAGAAAATTATCTTATCCAAAACCGAGCAGGCAAAACCTACGCGGTGAGCCGTTCCAAAGGACAAGAATCAAGATCACAACCCATAAGATAAAGTTAACTTCCAAAAAATGGGCTGTAATATAAATACATAAATACATAATGGGATTATTATACACGATAACACGTTGTTTGATGAAATCATATTAAGCATCCCTTAAAACTGGTCAGAACACACGTCAGACGCAACTCAAATCCGCTTGCAATTAACCATAAAAATAATAAAATAAAAGCAAAATTTTGGGTAATCAGAAAATTAAAGAAAAAAACCAAATTATGGGTAACTGAAAACTTTGAATATTTATTAATTAATAAATCAAAATAATAAAGGTGTCAAATTTATATTTTGGATAAAGTAAAGAGAGAATTCAAGACCCCACCAAACCCTTTTCTTCCTCCTTTATATTCGAACGAAAAACAAGCAAACAAAATCCACCTTCTACATTTCCCTTTAAAACCCACATTCACCAGTCAATAAAGAGCATTTTTTTTTGTGCGTTCTAAGAATCAAAACCTTTGATCTCGATTTGGTTGTTTTCCTCTTTCCGTTTCTTGTCTCAAAGGAAAAGAATTATTTTCTTCTTGGATTGAAAAAGACCCAGTTTTTGGTGGGCTTTTCTTGGTTTACAGTTTTAGTTTAGAGAGAGAGAGAGAGAGAAAGGAGAGAATCATGGCTTGTTCATTGAAGAATGGCCTCTGCTTTTCTGGGTTAGAAGAGATTACTGTGAACTCAAAAACCAAAAATGTTTCTGGGTTTTGTTCTTCCTTTGGTCTTCCACAACATATTAAAGAATCAAATTCAAATGCTTCTCCTGTTTTGACTTCTGATTTTGTGGGAAAATCGTTGACTTTTCCTGAGCAAAAGGGCTCAAGAGATTGGAGGGTTAATTCTTCAAATCATTTATCTGTTAATGTATGTGAAGCTTTTTACAACTTTTTTTTTATTCCCATTTTGTTACCAATTTTTGGGCTTTAAAACTTATATTATTTGTTTTTTTTTTTAAATTTTTTTAGGCACAGGCATCAATCTGTATAAGCCGAGCCATGAGATGGTGGGAAAAGACTCTTAAGCCCAACATGGTGGAGATCCAAACGGCACAACAACTCGTTGATTCGTTGGTTAATGCCGGTGACAGATTGGTTATAATTGACTTTTACTCACCTGGTTGTGGTGGTTGCAAAGCTCTCCATCCTAAGGTCAGATTTCCTTTCCTTTCATTTATTTTTTGGTACTTTGATTATTATTATTATTATTATTATTATTATTATTATTATTATCGTGAATTTGTAAAAAATCTTAATTGGACTTGTCATTACTTGGGAAAAATTTTGTGAGAAAAATGTTGACAGTGCTTATTTATCTTTTTTTTTTTCCACTCAGATTTGTCAGCTGGCTGAATCAAACCCAAATGCAATAATCCTTAAAGTAAACTATGAAGAGCTCAAAACTATGTGTCATGCTCTCCACATTCATGTCCTTCCATTCTTCAGATTCTACAGAGGCTCAGAAGGTCGCCTTTGTAGCTTCAGCTGTACCAATGCAACCGTAATTCTTTACACCTTTTTTTTTTCTCTCAATTTTTATGATTTATTTTTTGTAATAATTTAGTTTTTTTTTTTTTTTTTTTTTTTTTGCATAAATTTCTAAATTTGGCATATTTGTTTATAACAGATTAAGAAGTTCAAAGATGCATTGGCAAAGCATGGGGATCGTTGTAGCCTTGGCCCTGCAAAAGGCTTAGATGAAGATGAGCTATTGAAATTGGCTTCACTTGGTGAAATTCAATTAACTTCACTATTACCTTTTACCAAGAAAGGGAATATGGAGGATTTGGTGACGCGTGGCATGGATATTTCTGGAATTTGGAACAACAAGACTGAACTGAAAGAAGAGATCCCATTAAAGCTTTGAAAAAAAAAAAATATATATATATATATATATTTTGTAATAAGATTATTGGTAGTGGAGCAAGGAAGCTCCAATTTTCTCAAAATTTGCTCCTTTTTTTTTGGTAGGGGGTCAATTTTTGTGTACATAATTTGTTCTTGGGATTTCTATAAGCAGGGCATCTGGGTTTTTTTTTTTTTTTTTAGATTGAGTCCTGCGAGTTTGGGTAATCTACTATTGTACTGGGATACCATGATCTGATTGAGAAGCTTAATACATATATATGTCATCGTTGATTCATTTGTGTGTTAGCATCCATGAATTTCTTTTGGTTCAAGTTCAACCATGATGTTGAACATTGACGAGACTAACACGTTTATTTGACCATTGAATTTGGACTTTGGATGTGAGAGGTTGAAGCCGTCTGTTACTTTTTTTTTTCCCTTTTGCTTTAATACGTTTAAAATTTGTTTATTTTAAAACAAACAAGATGTTGGATCTATTTAGAATTGAGATTTGTCTGTTTTTAATAATTAGATACGGTTGTTGAACCCAATGTATTTCATTTCGCTCTATTATCAGTTCTTATTCTTTGCCCTATTTATTTCACTTCTCAACATTGATAATGTTATTTCCAGAAGAAACCACTAGATCCACGTTTCAATAACTGGGGAGAGTTGAGCATCAGAATCAAGCTTCGGAACCACCCTCAAACTTAAAAAATAAAAAATAAAAATCTTTTTAGTAATTGAATCAAGAACTTCTGTCTCAAATTCCTGTCTGGTTAACTATCTTTTCAATTAAATTTTAACACTTTAATATTTTCATTATTTATTTCATATTTATGTTATTAAATTGTTAATTTAGATGACACTGCAAATAAATTTTGACACTCTTTAATATTTTCATTATTTAGTTCATATTTATATTATTAAATTGTTAATTTAGATGACACTGTAAATAAATAATGGAGATAGAAAAATGAAAGACAACATATTTACGTCGTTAGATTGTTAACTTTTAGACTCTCCTCTCGTCTCTACAATTCACCATTTTAAATATACAACCTACTTCAATTTATTGCTTCATTTTTCTAGTATACACATATTAAAATTGGACTTTTGTAAATCACAAAACAAGCAAAAAGCAGAACCGAAAGGATATTTTCTTAAAATAAGGTTCGGGGACTAGTGCGAGAGAGAGAATTCTAGAGAGAGAAAGCGAGGAAGAAGGAGAATATTAGTCCAGTCGGCAACCGGAAGCACAACTCCAATCAGTCGGCCTCTAAAATACACTCATGCGCTCTATGTTGGCCGATTTATATGATAGTGGAGTTTGTATTTGTATTTTTTTTTTCTCTTTTTTAGTTGTTTGTAGAATAATGATAGTCATTCTGTTAATGTTGGTGTTTGTTTCTCCCCACAAATCACTAGATTTGTGTGGGCTTTAGTTGTGTTTGTTATTTTTAGTTGTGTTCCCTGCCAAACTCTAACCTTGTGTGGGTTTTGTGTTGTCTTTTATCTTTTATATGTCTTTAGCTATATCTCCCGCTTCGGTGTGCTTGATATGGAAAAATACTGACTTTCAGAGATTGATCTTTGTAGTGAGTTTGCTACAGCCTTTTTAGGAGAGCCAACCGTAGAAAGAGAATTAAACGAGCCAAGAGAAGTCCTCCAAATTATGTCTATCATCGGACCTTGAATCCATGTATTAAGACGTTAACATATATACAGATTTTAAATTGTTGTATTAAATTTTTTGTATTGAGTTATATGTGAGCTTCACATCTTATTGATTAATGAAATGATGTTTTGTTTAAAAATACCAAGTAAAAAAAAAGGCAAAAAGAGAAAAAAAAGAAAACCTTAACAAAAGAAAAAGAAGAAGAATTCTGGTGCGTTGGAACTCGTTCTAAAATGATTTTATTTTTGTATGAAAATGGAAATGAAAATGTTTTCAATCTCAGACCTAAATCATTTTTGAAAATGCGTTTGATAGTTTTATCAAGAGATTATTTTCAGTATAAAAAATCCATTAATGTCTCTCTCTGTGCTCGAGAGAGAAGAAAACGGAAATAAAAAATGAAAAACGACTAAAACTCATTTTTCATTTCTCTCCCATTTTATACTAAATCAAAAAATCATTTTTTTTATTTTTTATTTTTAATTGTGTCAAACGTCATTTTTCTCCTATTTTCATTTTTTCCTTCTCAAAAAACATGAAAAACAATAACAAAACCAACTTCAAGGCCGAAGAAACTCAATTCTGTCTTTCAGCTTTGATTTCATCACGTTTTTGGATTAGGGGTTGTTCTTTTGTATTTTTAAGTTAGGATGACTTGAGTAATAATTTTAAGTTGAGTTTGAGTTATAACTTAGTTGAAGTTGTAGCTTGAGTTTGTGTTTGGATGTGCATATTTGAGTTATGATTTAAATTGAGAATCTTTTTAAATTTGTGTTTGGGTGGGTTAAAACTTAAATTTGTATTTAGATAGTTTTTAGGGTATATGGGTGGGGTTTTATTCGTCTTTTCGTTGTAAATGCATAAAAAATCATTTCAATAAGAATTAAAACGAAAAAGTTATGGTATTTTTAAAAATAAAAAAAATACTGTTCATTAACTTGAGTTCGAATTTATAAACTCGACTTAAAAGAGAAATTTAAACTCAAATTTAGCTATAAATTTGAGTTTAAACTCAAATTTTATTAAAGAATATAAACTTAAATAAAATTATAACTCGATTCAAATTTTTTTAAAATTTGAAGACGTTTGGTTGGAGGATTCAAATCATGTGATTTGAACCATTTTCAATTTACGTGTATTTTTTATGAGAAAAAATATTATAACGAGCCACGAATCATTATTCAAATTAAGAAACGAATCCCTCTACCAAATATCCTCTTAGTTGATAAAGAACAACCCCTAGAAAGTACTACAACTTGGTATCCAGCTCAGCCAAACAGACAAAAGGTACTTTTCAAACTTCACCCGCAGTTTTAAATTGGGCAACACATCTTATAAAGTATCCAAAGTATGTCCCAACAATACATGGGAAACCACACTATTCCATGCTAGAGAAAAATACAACTTTAGTCAGAGTGCTCACAAATACCGTGGGATCGACGTGGATTTCTCATTATACAGATCAGCACGGCCCCACAAAAATAATATGGATGAGGATTGGAGTAGCGGACAGAGCTCCCATCATTGGTTTTGCCGTCCAAGTGTTCATTACCTTTAAAAAAAAAAAACTTCTTGCAGGCGAGCAATGTAGCTTCTATTAAAGGAATAGCACATTTTGTTAACAAGATGAATTTCTCCTCCACTACTTTCTCTTCATGTGAAATATTTATTTTGTTTAAGACTTTTTCTGTTAGGGTTTTACTATCAGTATCAATTTCTAATCCTTTTTTTTTATAAAATTTAATAGTCAAAAATAGAGAATTATTAATAATTTATTTTTTCTCGTCTTATCATGACGTGAATCGTAAACTTTCTTTCAAAACTAACTTATTAACCGAAAGACAAGTTTTTTTAAACCGTGATATAATTTTTTGGAAATGACCATCTACTGTAGAGTCTACAATGCTTCGCACACTTATGAGGACATGGGGTCAACATTAGAGGGAAGTAAAAATATTAGATTCCTTTAGGGCACTTTTAGAAGCACTTCTTGGACAAGTTTTGCACAGTGGATAGAACATTCACATCATAATTATCAGTATCACTTTGAAGTTTGAATACATTCTTCCCCTCCATTTAGAATTTTATATGTGAAAAATAAAAGAGCAAATAATATTCAAAGATGAAATGATTCTAGTATGTACTATTCTCGAACCTTTTATTGATCTTCTCTAAAAAAAAAAAGAGTTTTTCGTATTAACAGTCTTAATTTTTTATTATTAAATTTAATTAAAATTACATTAAATTAAAAAAATATATAAAATATATAAATTTTAATACAGATTTAACGATTAATTACAAGGGTGCCTTAGACAGTAACCATTTCACAAGATACATCGTAAAAAAGATCGTTTCAACAAGAAGCACCAAACACAAGAGGGGATCAAAATACAATCATTGTTACATCCACCAACTATGCAACGAGATACACGCACCATCTCTATAGGTTCAGACCGATACAAAAAGTGATGTAAAATTCGAAGTCAAGCCTTCTCCTAGAAGGGGTAGAAAAAGCACAAAAAAAGAAAAGCTTCTCAAAAAGTCCAAGCTAATTTTTAGTCTATCTAACAATGATCACTTTAAATTCTGTGTTCAAGACACATCCTTAACTTGACATCTATCTATTTTATAATTATTAATGCTCCGTTTATTTTGTCGATTTGAGTTTAAAATTCGAGTTTTATTACAGTAAAAACCTCTCAGAAACAGTCACATTTAACTTTTTTACTACAATAAAAAATTCTCACATAAAGTCACATCTCAACTCGAATTAAAAACTCAAATCAACGAATTAAATGAGCCATGAGATAATATCATCTCAGACGTACTCTTTTTGATGTGGATAGTTGTGAATTTGTATAAACGATTTTAAGAATAAAAAACGAAGATAAAAATGCCATTGTGAATTATTTTATAAATTTATATGCAAATAGCACAGCTTGCAAACAACATTTTCCTCCCTGCATAATCACTATAAATATAATTGATTCCCCAAATTTATGTTGGTTTGGCAACAGAAAACCCGTATAATTTTGACAAATAAGACCTAAATTTTAAAAATTTGTTGCAATTGTAGTCCAATAAACGATGGACGGACGTAAATAATGGTTGAAAAACATCCCAAGTTTCTTTTTGCAAGTTGCAACAATGCACCTGAAATTTTTCATTGTTTGGCAAATTGAACTAACCTTTTAAATTTTGACATTGGAGACATGATTGTTGAGTATTGTGTCTCTTCATGGATTCTCAAATTTAGGATTTTTAAATACAAACACATAAACTTTGAGGTTCACCATGTAAACGACAAAACGTTCTTAATGCATTAATCCAATTTACCAACATAACAAACATAAACAGTGATAAAGGAGCGATCAACAACAAAAGTAAGACATAATGGAAAAACAAAAAACTATTGTTAATTTTGAAAGAGGGTCAAGTATGGAAGGTAATAGAAAAAGGTGCGCAAACCTTGAGCAGAAGCAGAATCTAATTAGAAGCATTGTCTGTTGATGTGGTTTTGATGAAAAGCATTCTTATACTATGCAGCGGAATCTAATTACACGAGGTGATATTATTATTAGAGCCCAACTTTTACATTAGGCTCCCGCAATAATAAAATTTAAAATAA